AAATGTTGGACAAAATCTGGCTTACCATTAGTGATACACAAGTTGGCATCTCACTCCAACGACGATGAAGAGGTAAGTCACTATATTAGAGCGTCAAGAAGGGCCTTAAACCACGCAACACGGAAGGAGGATCTATTAGACCTTCTTCGTGCTTTCCACACCCCATTCGAACCCCGAAATTCGTCCACTCACCATTATGGCCTCAAGAGTATTTAAAGCAGTACTTACTTTCCTCCTCAGAAACGGAATCCTCCTGAACCATTGAACTGAGCATTGACTGCTGTTCCACCTTCTCTTGCAGCACTTGTATTTGACCCTCGTATTCCTTTAAACATCACATTTGTACAATTTTAAAGAGTCCAAAAGAAAAGTGGAGGGAGTAAAGCCCATGGTCAACGAACCCTTCGTTGCTCATCAAAACGTCTATCTATTTCCTCGCGTTCTCGACGATACTGTTCCTCCATTTCTAACAGTCGTTCATCCATTTCTTTGCGCAAATCAACGCCCTGTTTGTCGAGGAGTTCGCATATTGCATAAGTCCAATCCACCGTCTCCGACATGCTTGCTAGAGCAGAAGTGATGGCAAATGGTGATAAACCAGCATTTAATCTTCTTGTGACTTAACATCAAAACCTTGATTAATATTGGAGAGTCCTTATTTGGCTTAAACAAAGGTTCTGGAGTTTGTTGTAAACTGGTAAAAAGGACAGATAGTGGCTACTCGTTCTGGTTCTATGGTGTTTCTTGGTAATGCTTCTAAGCTTGCAAACAGAACGCTATGGAAAGGTGGGATAAAGGGTGGTGACTTTACGGTTGTGAAACCGCTGCTTCTCTAGCACTTTCTTCACACTACTGCCTCTTTAGCCTTACTGGATAGATTAAAGCACTTGAAAACTTACTGGTCATATCGTCCGTACCGTTCGCCTTTCGTTCGCGACCTTGAACATGAGAATTAAATGTCCAATTTTTCTTCATGTAAACAAAACACCTACTTATATCATTTAAGTAAAACGCGTTTCCTTAAGTAATCTCAAATGTTCGCAACAAAACGGGGCTTGGGGAAGGAGTGAAAAAAAAAGGAATTTACGAGTGAGTGGGTTATTGAACCGAAAGACATGATTTTTCCCGAGTATGACACGATCGCCGGAATGCAATTCCGTGGCATTTGAAATGAGACCGCCATTGAGGTAGCACTCCGCTCCTCCCATCGGTTCAATGGTCACTACATCTACAAAGAGGAAAAGTGAATTACATTCTCCTGCTCCTACTTGTCTAATTAAAGTTGCTATTTTTGGATCCAAGATTGGATCGCACTTGCGATAAGCTCAAATGCCTTCTGACCAATGAAGTGCCAATGTAGCAAAGGCGGGCACGTTTAAACCACCCGAACAGACAACAGGCCTAGTTAAATTTGGCTCATTCAGCGAACAAAAATAGTTTATTGGACAGCAATCCACGAGAACAGCAAATGCTTCCCACCCATAATTGCCCAACGTCAATCTTCAAGGGAGTACAGCCTTGAGATTTGGCTTAAATTACTAGCCTTGGATGCCCTGTTCCCCTTCTCCAAACTACATCCTCCTCCCACTACGAGGCAAACGCATTTACTCAAGAGCAATCCCCTATCCCATTTGCAAGACGAATCTCCTCCCAGACAGCCGATTTTGTCCCATGTTGGTAGTTGCGCAACACCCAATCGCCATAGGTAAGGCGGACACAGAAATTATGAAATAAACTGATTGCAACAAAAGACTTCTTTCTCACCTTTTTACTTTGTGTCGAGGGTAAACATGTCTCG